CTAATTCAGAGAAAACATTCAGGGAAAACTGCCCCCAAGTAAATGGGGACACAAATCTCTAAGTCAGGTTTGGGTTGCAGAGGCTGGGTTTGAACCTGGGGTGAGGACGTGGACAGCATCTCAGCAAAAATTTCTTTTATGATCAAAGGAACCAAACTTCTGTTACTTGTAATTAAAACACCAGAAATTGGTATTGATTGAAATTGGCAGGAGTCTGAGGGCTTTCTTTGAGTCTTTAAATAAAAGATTCACTAGCTACATGACCCTGGGCAAGAAAGTTCTCCTCCTAAGAGTCCTAGTTCAAGGGAAACCGTGGAGTCTGAATGGGAAAAAAGAGGCAGTGTTGAGACATAGTGATGCTTGCCAACTTATCTATTAGGATTATGGACTACTTGCAATTGTAGGATTTTTAAAGTCAGAAAATGACAAGAGTTTATGGCCAATTTAGATCCAGAGAGGTTTTCAGCCTTAAAGCTATTGCTCAGGTCACAAACATTTCCACTTGTTCGATAAAATTGCATTCCCTGTCCTCTCAGTGAGCATAAATATAGATAATTTGGAGCAGGGGAGGTAGAATCCCAAGGTACTCAGAATAATTGACCTCCAAGATCAAGACTCTAAGTCCAGGGACTCCTGAGTGGCTTTGAGGTTGAGGGTCTGCCTTCGGCTCAGGGCATCATTCCAGGATCCAAGATGGATTCTCACCCCCCACAGGGCTCCCTGCAGGAAGCCTGCTTCTCCCTCTCCCTCTGCCTACATCTCTGTTTCTCTCATGAATAAATAATTTTTTTAAACAAAAATCTAAGTCCGGGATCCCTGGGTGGCGCAGCGGTTTGGCGCCTGCCTTTGGCCCAGGGCGCGATCCTGGAGACCCGGGATCGAATCCCACGTCGGGCTCCCGGTGCATGGAGCCTGCTTCTCCCTCTGCCTGTGTCTCTGCCTCTCTCTCTCTCTCTCTCTCTCTCTATCATAAATAAATAAAAATTTAAAAAAAATTTTAAAAAAATCTAAGTTCAATTAAGTGTGTTTTACTCATTATGTGGAATTTAAGAAACAAAGCAGAGGATCCTAGAGGAAGAGAGAAAAAAACTTTTTTAAAAATATTTTATTTATTTATTCATGAGAGACACAGAGAGAGAGAAAGAGAGGCAGAGACACAGGCAGAGGGAGAAGCAGGCTCCATGCAGGGAGCGGGATGTGGGACTGGATCCCAAGTCTCCGGGATCACGCCCTGAACTGAAGGCGGTGCTAAACCGCTGAGCCACCCGGACTGCCCATGAGCCACCGGGGCTGCCTGAGAGGAAAAATTAAAATAAGACGAAATCAGTAAGGTAGACATACCATAAGAGACTCTTAATCATAGGAAACAAACTGAGGGTCGCTGGAGGGGAGGGGTGGGGGATGGGGTAACTGGGGGATGGGCATGAAGGAGGGGACATGATGTGATGAGCACTGGGTGTTATATGCAACTGATGAGTCACTGACCTCTACCTCTGAAACTAATAATACATTATGTTAATTAATTGAATTTAAATTTTAGAAAATGATTCTGAGCTGAATTTCCCCGTTTCAAAAAAACAAAATAAACCCCAAAACTCCAAGGAGGTGTGTTTTAGAGAAGGGGTGCATTTTGTGTGTGTGAAGAGAGTCACAGGAGGGAGTCCTGAAGAGGAGGTAGAGAGCACTGTCAGGAGAGGTTTGGGTACATGTTGCAGAATCTGGGTGGGAGGCTCACCTAAACTGGTCAGCCTTGCTGTATGGGTGGAGGGGTGTCACAGGGCAGAGGTTTAGAGGCCCCAGTGGCTGCAGGAAGGGAGGAGTCTGGAAGGGAGAAGACAAGCAGGAGAGTTTCCACATTCCAGAAAGGAAGTGACAGGGATTTGAGGAGTGCTCCAGTGGATGGTGGAAGAGGAGGCAGCGGGTGCTGATGCCAGCAGGTGCACCCAGACAGGCAGCACCCCCAGGCCTCCTGTGGCCTCATCCTGGACAGAGGTCCTGTCTCCAGGGAGACGGAGACCATGGGACACAGACTTGGGGAGGTTTTAGGCCATTTGATGGGACCGCTGAGGCAGAGTTGGACACAAGTTTCTCTTCTACTCTAGGAGCCCTCATGTGATGAGCAGAGAGAGAAAATGGCAAAAAGAGCAAGGAATACAGCAGTGACGAGCCACGTGTGTGATTTCCCACCACGGAGGCCTCATCAGTTTTTCCACTTGAGCATTGGTGTCTTCACCTGTTGAGGAAACGGGATGTTTACCTTGGGGCCAGGTCGCCGCTTAGAGTTTCAGGGAATCTTTATTATTCTTGATTAGCCCTGTCAGTTTCGTCTCATTCTCCGAACTTCCCAAAGGCAAACCGGAGGCACAGAAGGTGACCGGCCCTGAGTCACACAGCTCCGGGAGGACAAGGGAACTGAAAGCATCGTTAAGTAACAATTAAAAGCGATATTCTTGAGGCCCGGTACCTCAATCTACGACGGTCTCTGAGCAGGAGGGGCGGGGGGGGCTGAGGGGGGCGGCCCGAGGTGCCGGTTTCGGGCCCTCCCCCCACGCCAGATGAGCGGCCTCTGCGGGAGGCTGAGGAACGCGAGAACAAACCGCTTCCGTTTTCCAGGAGAGCTCTGAGCGCCCAGACTCAGAGAACGGAGCCGAGCCCTGGGGTTCAGGGAGATGGAGGCAGCGCTCCGTGTGGTAGCGGAAGGGGGGGTTGCCGAAGGGGGCAGGGCCGCGGCTTGGGAGCGGGGGTTCTGCAGCGCGGGGTGGGAGGTGGGCGGTGTGCGCGGAGACGGACGGACGGTCGGGGGGCGCTGACCCCGGGGACGGGAGGGCTCTGGAAGCCGGCCCCTTCCCATCCAGTTCAGGGACTCGGGCCTCCAGCACCTCGGCGGAACTCGGGCAGCTGCTCTCCTCTCTGACTTGGGAAACAGAGCTTTAGGAACAGCCACCCCCACGGACATTCAGCCTTGTTTTAGCCATTTGACTTCTCGGGGGTCACCAGGGGTCACCAGCCCTCCAGGCCTTAGAGAGGTTTCCTTACGCGAGTCCCCCCAACAGCCAGGAAAGTGGGAGTGGATGCGGGGACAGAAAGCAATTTTTTAAAAATTAACTTAAGAGTCACCTGAGTGGTTCAGTCTATGAAGTGTCTGCCTTCGGCTCAGGTCATGATCTCCGGGTACTGGGATGGGGTCCGGCGTGGGGCTCCCTGCTCAGCAGGGTGTCTGCTTCTCCCTCTCCTTCTATCTCTCCTCACCACTCATTTCTCTCTCTCAAATAAATAAAATATTTTTTTAAAAATTAGCATAAGAGGTGCCTCAGTGGCCCAGTTGGTCAAGCGTCTGATTCCATCTCAGCTCAGGTCTCCATCTCACGGTGGTGAGCTCCAGCCCCACTTTAGGCTCCACATCCACAGGAGGGCAGCAGTTTAGCCCCGCCTTCAGCCCAGGCCCTGATCCTGCAGACCCAGGATCTAGTCCCACCTCCGGCTCCCTGCATGGAGCCTGCTTCTTCCTCTGCCTGTGTCTGTCTGTCTGTCTCTCTCTCTCTGTGCGTCTCTCATGAATGTATAAAAAATCTTTAAAAAAATTATTGAAATAAGACAGTCTCTGCACAGCCTAATGATGATCAAGTGCCATAAATTTTGGAGTTTAATCATTTGAATCTGACGTCCAAATGGGGGGGGGGTGGTGAGTGATGTTTTAAGCTTCAAGAAGCTAATAATCTGATGAGGAAGGCACAAGTTTTTCAAGAATACAAACAATAGAGATATTAAACGTATTTTACTCCTGGGGAGACCAGCGGGAGAATGGGGTTTGGGAGTCAAAGCCTGGGAATAATGGACAAAGCAAGAGAGGGGCCTTGTGCAGATCAATCAATGATAATGGGTTCCGGAGTGCCTGAGCTCAGCCCCCAGCACTTGAGGTCCAAAGGTGGATAGTGTTGTAGGCAGGACGGAGGAAGACCTGGGTGAGTTTCCCCCGGGGTGGGGTGGGAGTGGGGACCGACTATGTTCTGTAAGTGGGAAATCCAGCAATTCCTGGGCTCCAGGTCTGTGGCCCCCAGCAAGTACCCCTGTGAGCAGAGACTATTGAGCTGCTGGAATGCCCCTGAGCTGAGCGGCAAAGCATTTTTAGTCTTAGAGGAATTTGTGTCTCCTTTCCTCATCCTTCTCAGGCCTGGGGCTTCAAGGGATTAAGAGCACTTTTAAAAGACCTGCATTCAGAGCGGTGGATAATAACCGGAACATGGGCGGCCCTAGTGTTTCCCCTCCCTAGGCTGGTGTGTGGGGCCTCCTATACCAGATCTTCGACACTCAGGCCTGGGGTAACACCATGCCTTTTAACTTAGGCCAATCTGATAAATACAGAATGCATCTTTTCTTATTTATACCTCTTTGATTACTGCTGAGGAACATTGTATCCCAGCACAAATGCCATTTGGTTTACTGTCTGGTGCCCATGTGTCTGTTGGGCTGGTTGTGTAATTACTGATTTGTAATCACTTGAAGGCAGTTGTGTAATGAATATAGTAATGTGCTTCTTTCACGTATGTTGTGAATATCTTTTCCTCCTCAGGGCCATGTTCCTTCCATCTCTCTTGGAGAGGTCCTAGATGGTCCACAAATCATGATATTATGAATGGTATCTGGAATGTCAATGTCGTTCCCTTGGTAGTGACTCTACTGAAAAGCTGGGGAGGTTTTGTCTGCATCTGGACACTACTATTCACTTGATTAAAACAGACAGTAATCTTCAAGACCATGGATGCTTGCCCTCACCTTTTCACAATTCTGCCAGAATTTATATGAGTCCCAGGTCCTCATCGCACTGGTGAGCACAGAATGCCCATGGGGGTGTGTGTGGGTGAGGATGTGGTTTAAATTCTACATCCCCACTCATGCCACAGAAATCCTTGCAATTGGTGTGCACAGCCTTGGCTAGAGGATCAAAAGCTTGCCAGGGTGTGTGAGATCCCAGCCTCAAAAACTACATCTACGGACTAGTCATGACTGCATGGTTAGGGGCCTCCTACGTTTTGCCTATTCTGCTAGTCAGCTTTGTGCAGACAAATGCCAAGCCTGAGAAGACGAAGGTGAGCAGCCTCCAGAGAGGGTGGGGCAGGGCCCCAAGGTGGAGTCACTGTTCTGTCCTGCTCCAGTCATTCTTGTAAGGCTCTGACCTCTGCTTTCTTTCATTTTGGGGTTTTCCATTAACCTTTCTTTTCTACTTGCCTCTTCTTCATTCCTATAAATGGATGCTCCTTGGGCTGAATATAGGTAGGGAAGAGTCTCCTTCCTGCAGTCCTTGCTCTCCTCCATCTCTAGTTAGGATTACCTGGATACTCTTCCAACACGTCAGTATCTGCATCAGAGCTGGACACCAGGCAGGGGAAGCAGTGGGCACCATGGTGGGTGGCAAGGTTTGGAGGAGAGGGTGAGCCAGGTCATCTCTGATGCAGCTCAGTGGGACACCTACAACAAGAAGGAAAAAACCAATGTGGAAGTTTTTTTGCAAATGGATAAAATCAGAGAGTTAATCAGAGAAATATAAAACATGGGCAAAAATAATTGGAGGTCTAGGGGCGCCTGGGTGGCTCAGTTGATTAAGCATCTGCCTTTGGCTCAGGTCATGATCTCAGGGTCCTGAGACTGAGCCCAGTAGGGAGTCTGCTTCCCTCTGCCTCTCCCCACCTCCCGTGCACATGCACACATGTGTGTGTGTGAGCACACACTCGATAGATAGATAGATAGATAGATAGATAGATAGATAGATAATAGATAGATAGATAGAAAGAAAGAAATTGGAGATCTAAAACAAACAGATTTAGAATCAGGGGTTTTGGATTCTGGCATCAGTCTAGTCCTAGTTCATAATTCAGTTGCCTTATTGATGAAATGTGTGTATAACATAGGGAGGGGCAGCTCTGGGAAGGAGAGCAATGATCTGGATGACTTGGAGGCAAGATGGAATCATGAAGTGAGAGGCAAGCAACCTTTCATCCGTGTAGTGGGGCAATCATTTTTGGTCTTGGACAAGTCCCTTTACCTTTGTTAGCTTCTGCTTTCTCATATACATTTGTGGACAACCGTATCTACCTTGTGGGTAGAACAATAATTATGACACATATAATGTGCTCAGTAAAAGGCAGCTCTGGTAAGATCTTCCTACCACTCTGAAGTTGACCAGAGAACCTCCTGGGTGACTCTACTTTTGAGAATTGGTGTGGCTTTTCTGTGACTCAGTGCTGCCTAGTTGAGTATGAAGACCCTGGATCCTCAGCTATAGAATTTGCTTAATAAAAAACTGAGTCTGGAGGTATTAGAGACATATCATATGGACTTACATACATTTGAAGCAGCAATGAGTGTCAGGAGTAAGCTGGCCTGGAAAGGGCTTTCCAGTTCAGAGTCTCTCTAAATTCCCATACTCTGGTTACTTAACATGATTTTCAGTAATTTTCATTGCAGTACAAAGGGGAAAAAAAAGATAATTTCTTTAAAACGTTTAACTTAGCACCTGGCATTATGGAAGTTGAGATGGATGTTTTCATACAGTATTCTCTCTATGCACATCTCAGTTTTGCTGGCATGTGTCTGTGTATGCACTCAGGGGAAAGTGCAAAATCCTGCACAGAGAAGGCACCTTTCTGCCCCAGAGCAGGGACCGAGTACTAGAGTCCAGTGTGCTAGTCATGGAAGCAGTTGGCCTAGAAAGTTGGAGAAAGTCTAGTTTTGTTTGTGTTGCATCGGGACAGGTAGTGATTGGCTGAAATCCTTTCTAGTTCATTGGATTTCCAGGGAGTCTGATTTAATCCTAGTTTAAATCTAGACCTTCCTTATCAGATTATGTCCTTCTCCCCTTTCTCTGATCGGTTCCTCTTTCCTCATTCTCACCATGTAGTTTGCTGGCTTCCTTTTCACACTTCCTGTTTTGTACTCCCTGTGTTCCATGAGCAACTGGCAGCAGCTTTCCCAAGATAGGAAAAGGAGTCCTTCATGGACCCTATATAGATACAGTGGAGGAAGAATAAGGTGAGATCTGCCTTGCAGAGGAATTTAACCTAAGAACAGGTGACGAGAATGTCATGGACAACTAATTTCTGTTATGTGGAATTTATTTGTGTTACATGGAATTCTGCTCCAATATGTTCAGGAGATTTGGGGAGGAATAGAATAGATGGAGCCAGTGGTGAAGGCAAATATTAGATACCTAGAGCACAGTGGGGTGGGGAGCAGCCGGTGTGCAGCTGGGTGCTGCCAGATAGATTTTAGTAGCACTAGCAGGTGGATTTGGGCTCTCCACCTCCTCCGCTGGGAGCCACAGAAAGAGTTCCACAGTAGCGGCTTGTAGGACTATCATGCGAGTACGAGAGTGACAGGAGAGAGAACACTGTTTCAGGCAGGGCTAATATTAGGTTCTGGAATGTTAAACTGGGAAGGCCCCTTGAGGACCTGTCAGGAATGTAGGTGAATGTTATTTTACCAGTGGGGGAACTGAATGTCAAGGATGAGACTTGCCCAGATTCACAAGGGAATCTGACCACAGAGCTGGCTTCTGATTCCCAGATCAGAGTTCTTTCCACTATATAAGCAATCCCAAACCTTCCCTTCACTGGGAAAATCCAGACAGAATATCTCCAACCCAGAGCCAATGAGTATCCTCATTCTCACAGAAGCACAAAAGGCAGTGGGCTTTTCTCTTCCGCCCCTGCTTCCTTCCAGAACTTCCCATCCCAGTTCATGAATCTCTGCTCTGTTCATCTTATCCCAGCACATTTCCTGGTGTCCTGCCTCTTCCAGGATAACAGGAGGGGAGACTTGACTGTTGCTTGAAAATCACTGGCTTCTAAATCACAAGACTTAACTTTCTATCCTGTCACACACACCTTAGATAACTCCTGTTTGTTTCCTGGTTTGTTTTCATTTAATGCAGGTATTACTTGGAGTGCTTTGAAAGCTTACACTGATGTTAGGAATTGTTGTTATTAATATCATCATTTTTTAAATCTTCTAGATGGATTGCTACAAAGATGTGAAAGGCACCATCTATGAATATGAAGCCCTCACTCTCAATGGAAATGAACGCATTCAGTTCAAGCAGTATGCGGGCAAGCATGTTCTTTTTGTCAATGTGGCCACCTATTGTGGTCTGACAGCTCAGTATCCTGGTAAGAATTCATAGCCAGATCTCCTTGGGGCTGAATCTTCCAGCTCACCATATTCTAAATCATAATTAGAATTATATTCTAATTACATATGAAAATAAATGCTCATGGTCAAGTGACTTGGTTCCCTGATGTCAGAAGCCACAATGGCCCACAGGCCAAATCTGGCTAGCCTGCTTTTGTAAACAAAGTTTTATTAGAACACAGCCATGCCCATGCCCTTCATACTGATTTTACGCCTCCAGGCAGAGTTGAGTAAGTTGATGATAATGGTGACAGAGACCACCTGGCTCATAAAGTCTAAGGTATTTACTATCTAGACCTTTATAGAAAAAGTTTGCTGATTCCCTCCGCATGTCCTGCTTCTGCTTTGCTCCTGAGAATTTCCAGGAGAATCAATAGATCTCTGAGGACTAGGAGCCTCTCCACCGATTCTAGAACTCTCCTCTGTGAATACAAGAGACAGAAACAATGTTTTTGAAACTTTTCTAGGGTTTTACAGGTAACTGACAAAGACAGAGAGAGGGGGATGGGGTTTTATACCTGGAGCTGCGTTTGGCTGGAGAGTTGGTAGAGCAGGTGGTGATGGGGGAATCTTCCTGCTCCAACTGAAGGCCTCCTAGATGGAGATTCCGCCTCTCTGTATGTTACTCAAGGAGAGATTTTATCTTTCTCATATCTCAGACCATGTGGTTTAGAAAGCAATGGATAATGAGTAGGATGGAGTGTGCCTAGGTGGCTTGGTTGGTTAAATATCTAACTCTTGTGCTCAGGGTTCTGAGTTCAAGCCCTGTGATGGGCTGCATTCTGGGAGTGGAGCCTACTTAAAAAAATAATAATAATAGTGAATAGGATGAATGTTACCAGAAACAGAGGGACTTATATTTAAACTAATAATAACTTCATTTTTTGTTGTTTTTGATTATGTTGTAAACAGGTAATATATTCAGGGCTCATAAATTATGGGAATCAAAAAGTTTAGAGTGAGAAGTCTTTCCACCTCCTCCCCCCTCCCTTCAGAGGAAAATACATAGGTAGAGGTTTTTTTCTGCTTCTCTCCCACCCAGTTATAACATAATATAAATACTACATCCCATTTTGCTCTTTGTCTTAATTAATAAAGTACTTTAGAGTTCAGACCATCTCCTCATTCTTTTTTAAGGCTGTGTTGGACCATAATTCATCTTACCAGCTTACACTGACTTTGAAAATCAATTTAGTCAGTTCCCATTTTGTACATAACAGACAAGGACACTAAGCAATAGTTAGTTGCTCAAGGACTGGAAGACAGGATTCCTAATTTATTGTCTCTTTCCTAGAGGAAGTGATCATGTACAGTGACTGAGGACAGAGGGGAAGGATGTGGGGAGAAATACTGAGGAACTATATGGAATCAGGAAGGCAATCTCTAGTTTTTAAAAAAAGAAAGAAAAAGGAAGGAAGGAAGGAAGGAAGGAAGGAAGGAAGGAAGGAAGGAAGGAAGGAAGAAAGGAAGGAAGGAAGGGAAAGGAAAAGAACAGGACTAAGAGGTGGTACCAGTTGACCAGTTGGCTGTGCAGAATCTAAGTGGTATGGCTGGTGTTTGTCAGGGGACTGAAGCCATGTAGCCCAGAAAGCGTTAACAGAGAAGTTGATTATAAAAAGCTGAGCAATCAAATTGGAAAACAGTGGAAGAAGGCAGGAGCAAACTTGTGTTTTGCTATGTCAGTGAGGACCATGGGGTAGAATGTCTTTTCAACATCCTGAGGATTGTTCCAGGAAGCTGGACCTAGAATTTCTCTGTTTCTCCTTGCCTCTGTCAGGCTTATCCCTGCTCCACCCAGAGCACCCAGTCTGTACAGAGGAGAAAAACCCATTCTCCTCATCTGTGTCCTTTCCTTTAAAAAAGACAGATTCAGTTTAGCAAGTAACCAACCAGGGAAGGCAAGCTTGTGTGTGTGTGTGTGTGTGTGTGTGTGTATATAACAAAAGATGTAATATAAAATTTACAATTTTAACCAGTTCTAAGTGTACTCCTTAGTAGTGTTAAGTATATTCACATTCTTATGAGACAAATCTCCAGAACTTTCTCATCTTGCCAAAATGAAACTATACCCATCAATAACCCTCCATACAGTGGCAGTTATACATTTTACAATCTACAATAACCCTGTGAAGTTTTTATATTAAAGACTGGGACTCATCTCAGAAGAAGGGAATCAGAATTCTCTGGGATGGGACCTGATTTTCCCTATTTATCAGAAAGGGCTCTCAGTTGATTCTGATGTGCCAGAGATTTGGGAACTATTACCCTATAACAAAAGGCTCTGGAATGCATGTCTGGAGCTCCAGCATCTAACTGCAGCCCTGCCACTGAGAGTCTCTCCAATCTAGAGATATTTCCTCCCCTAGGGCTCTGTTGCCCTGGAAATGGGTCAATCCCACAGATCTTTCTCTACACAAGGTCTCCTTATTGTCCCTTATCTACCCACAGAACTGAATTCACTTCAGGAGGAGCTGAAGCCCTTGGGCCTGGTTGTATTGGGCTTTCCCTGCAACCAATTTGGGAAGCAGGAGCCAGGAGAGAACTCAGAGATCCTTCCGGGGCTGAAGTAAGTGCCTACTAGGAACCCCACAGGAGGCCTACCTTTTTTCAGACTGCAGAGCCACTTTTGTGCTGGGGACTCCCTGAGTGGGTGGCAGATTAGGGGCACCTGCAAGCTGACATCAGCTTTGTCCTAGCCTGATGTGAGTCTGGCAGTGTCCAGGGACTCTTCTCCTCTCTGAGATGAGATGTTGCTGGACCACAAAGGAGCAGGAACGCAGAGGAAGCCGGAACAGAGGCTGTACACAGAACACAGGGTCAGGTTGCAGTAAAGAGAAGAATTTTGTGAATCAGGGAGCCCACAGTCTAGAAATGGCCTGTATTTTCCCTTTTCAGCTCTGTTTTCCATCTCTGCCCTTCCTCCTGCTTTTCCCATGAACCCCAGACCTGGTGCCCCACTGTAGCCTCCTCTCCTACATTCTGGAGCTTCCTGGGAATGCTGTGGTTCATTTTAGGTATGTCCGTCCAGGCAGAGGCTATGTCCCTAACTTCCAGCTCTTTGAGAAAGGGGATGTGAATGGTGAAAAAGAACAGAAAGTCTTCACCTTCTTGAAGGTGAGTGAATCACTGACCCAAACCTCTTCTTCCCTAGCATTCCTATCGTAGAGTTACTGTGCTGGAAATGGACCCAAGGGTCATGCCTGGAAGTGGCATTGGACTCTTGGCTAGAGGTCTACACATTAGTGTAGGGACCTGGGTTTAATTTGTTAGGATTTATGAGATTCTGGCTTTTGTGATGTAGAGGGCTGCGAAGAGTGGCTGTGTTTCCAAGGACCACCCTCTTTTGCTCATTAACCTTCATTCATCAAGGTACATTTTCTGAATATGAGGCAGTTAGCTAAATAATACTGATATAAAGAAGAATAAGACACAGTCCCTAGTCCTTGATGGTTCCTATTGGAGAGAGGAGCATAGAAATAAATAGGCTAATACCACGTAGTAAGTGCCTTTTATGAAACACTGACTTTCAGATATAGAGAACTGGAGGCTAACAGGGTCCCTAACTAACCACCAGCGTTAATTGTTCCTAAATGCTAGACAGTGGGCCAGCACCTAACTCAGAGATTTTTATATACCTTCGGCAAATTGAAGAAAATAGGACAATGTCAGAGGGTTTCATAAACTCAACTGACTTATAAGGGCTTCCCTTTATTCTAAGATTAGGACCTATTTGCAATTTATTCTTACAATAATCTTTTTTAAATTAAATGATGCTTCTCAAAAGTTTTGTTAATTTGACAAAACAAAATGTTGGAACTCCACGTTGATCCCAAAGATATTTTTGGAATGCTACTGGCCCAGGAGCCCTAAGACCTGGTGAACCCCATTCTAATCTAAATTGTTGACTTTGCACAAAAGGAAACCAACAGCCAACAGAAGTGACATATCTTACCCATAACAGCATTGCTTTGTGATCACCGGGGGCACAGGGGCACAGGAAGAGGGAACAGGCTTTTACTGTTATATCTACAACTGTCTTGATCATTGATGTGGTGGCAATCCAAAGGATTTGTTAAGAATCACAAGAAATTAGAATATATAGGCATGGGAGGGAGCAGATCCCCTGTGGGTGACAGTAGCAGAAATGACGCAGTTTGTTCCATTTCTGCTCCAGCTCTCCTGCCCTCACCCCTCAGAGGTTCTAGGCTCCTTCAGACACATCTCCTGGGATCCTGTAAAGGTCCACGATATCCGCTGGAACTTTGAGAAGTTCCTGGTGGGGCCCGATGGAGTCCCTGTCCTGCGCTGGTTCCACCGGACTCCCATCAGCACTGTCAAGGCAGACATCCTGGTCTACCTGAAACAGCTCAAAATGAAATAGGAAGGCAGGAGCAACCCTGCTTCTCATCATAAGACGTGTTTTAAAAAATTCCAGATTTCACCACATTCTTCTAAATGGCCTGCCCTTGACCAAAGCACGCTGTACCGCCAGAGTTCCCACTCTCTATCAAGCAGATTTATATTCAGAAGACTACTGCTATTTCTCCTTGCAAGAATCCATATGTGGAAGAAGAACAAAAGAATGGAACCTCTAAATCCTTAGACCTCTAATATAAATAAATTTAATCGGTCGTGTCCATCAAAAGAAAATCAGCGTTCCATGAGGATGGTTCAGTCTGCCACAACATCCTGAAAAAGAACGTTCCAGACAGAATGTTCCCCCTTCTCTTTCCACTCTAAAAGTGTAGAAATAACAGTGGGATGGTAGCCATACAGCCGAGTTTCCACCTTATAACACCTGCCCTCCACCGTGACAAACACGTATTGTCAGTTTCCAAGTCTTTGAGACCAGTGTTCATCCATGAAACTCACCCTCCCATATACACAGTGACCTGTCGTTCTGGTTTATGAGCTCTAAGGTGGAGTGGGAGCAGGAGACTGCCTTGCATGAAGAGAAGGACATCTCCATGGTAGTGGGACCCGGAGCCTCTCTATCATTTAGATCCTACAGAAACTTCCCTGCTGTCTGACTTGTAGTGCACTCAGGTCATGACACCTGGACAATGCATCCTTTGAAGGATGGGCTTTCCCTTGTCCATCCTAGATTCTTCAGCTTCAGAACCAGCTCTGCACTGTCTCCAATAAAATGTTTTCTACAGCATCTGGCATCACTGTGGTAGTTTTTATACCCTATCTTGTACTCAAACTTGTCTCATCTCTCTCTTCTTTCTCACTGTGACTACCACAGATGATGTGTTTCCCAAATCACCTGAACCCCTTGGATAGAAGAAATTATCCTCCCAGATCCTTGGAAGGCTGTCACCTGGCAGCTCTCAACTGTCACCCCTTATTGGGAATTATCTCAGGTTCAGGTCATGTCCCCTTTCCAGGGGCAGCATGTATCCAATTACTGCTCCATGAGGGGCATAAGAAGCAAGACTTGACTTCTCAACCTAGGGCAGCTCTGGAGGGCCATCCCAGCTGCAGAGATGCCCAAGGGTCTGATGCCTTTCTGTTGATCCTGACCTAGTGCTCTATAGTAAGCTTTGCATGCATGTCTCCATCTTTGAGACTTTATTGGTAACCTAACCTGCAGTGGTTGGCACCAGAAGGAATGTGAGAAAGAAGATGCTAAGATAATAGTTTTGAAACTGAACTACCCACCATCTGCTCAGCAGTGCTGGGATGGGTGGAGCACAAACAGCCATTGCACAGAGCAGCAGAGCAATTTTTATTTTTTATTTTTTTAAGGGGGGTTGCTGAGGAAGAGAGAGAGACAGTGAGATCTTAAGCAGACTCTACACCCAGTGCAGAGCCTGACATGTGGTTCAATCTCACAATCCTGAGATCATGAGCTTAGCCAAAACCTAGAGTCTTACACTTTATTGATTTAGCCACCCATGCAACCCATAGCAATTTTTAGAACTTTCACCAAACCTGAATGAGGTGGTACACTGGTGAAAGGATATGGTATCAGGTGCTTGAGAAATGTGAGAGAGGTGGTACTTTTAAGGTGATATAATTTTAAGGCAATTTTAAGATTGTTACTAGAAGAAATTGGTGCTTTGGAGAGAGATTATTAAAGGCTGAGGATTATATCTGACCAAATAAAGGCTAACTGTAGAAGCCAAAGTGCCTCCATAAGAGGAGATGAAGAACCTCTCATATCCTGCAACTCGAGAGCACAAAAAGCTAAGTTTCAGGTCCAAGACTTAATTGTAGGGATAGTAGAGCTCCAAATATGGTTAAATTCTCAAACTAATTACCTTCTATGCCCAGGTCATGGCCTTGATTGGAAAAGAATAGAATCTTGAGACACTGGATGGAGACATCTGGTTGGATGCTTTAGAACATCTAAATCCCCAGAGTTCCCAAGACTCCCAGTTCTTCTTATTAAGAATAAGCACATCATTCTTGCTTGATGACAATGCAGAGGCTTTTGTTCTGCCAAACATTATGTGCTCTGCCATCTACTCAACATCTGTCCCATAAAGAACTAGATTCTGAGAGTTCTGGATCAAGGGGCATGGGACACGAAATTAGCTAAAGGAGAGTTCATTGATCTTGGGGCATTTTTCCAAAGTGCAGAAACTTTACACATTGGCAAGAACCCAACACACTGGATTCTCCTGCTTGTAAAAAAAAAAAAAATGATTCTCAGTAAATGCAGTAGAAATGCCAGGACTATTGTGCCTAATGACAGAAAGGAGGGATCAAAAGCTGAAAGACGTGGCCAGCCTAGAGTGGTTTTACTATGTAATGCTAGAAACCTGCTGATGACAATGTGTTGCATGGATTTGAAAAAATAAAACAGAATGTGCAGGATCACTGAAAAGTTCGGTGGTGAGTGTCCTCTAAAGGCCTGGACTGATAAGAAATTCTGCTATAGAAGTAGCCTCACTGTTAGCAATGCAGATTATAGAATCCTGAAGGCCAGAGATGGCAGCATTCATTCATTAGAGTGTGTGTGTGTGTGTGTGTGTGTGTGTGTGTGCATGTGTGATTATGTGTGTGTGTGAACTCTGTGGAGTGTTGGAGATGGATTCAAAGAACACATCATCCGTAGAAGCAAGGTAGATGAACATCCAACAAAGGTAATCATTGTCTATACAATCAGAAGAAAGCAAGAATAGAGAACCAGGAAGCTGAGGCAGCAGCCCCAGTTAAAAATAAAATCACCACACCTTGCTTGGCTTTTAATCTTGAACCAGTTTTCAGACCCAGAATCATGGACTAAAAGAAGAAGCCGGGTCCTGAGAAGGTAGGATCCTGTGATACCACCACAAATACATAGAAAGTAATTTCCCAGTCTTTTCCTAAAGGAACTTCTAGCCATTCACTCAGTAACCATAAAATCAATAAAGAGAAATACCCTTACATTTCAAGGACTGTTGGACATAAGATCCAGGTTGACATTGATACTGGAAGGCCCAAAGTGTCATCATGGCCTCTGATTAGGAGGCTTTGAGGACTAAGCAGCAGATGCAGCCCCTGCCCAAGTCTGGTTCACAGTGCATCCATTAAGGCCATGGATCCATCTGATAGAAATTTCTCTTGTCTCCAAATGTCCAGTTAGAATGATGTATGTGGTAATTGGCAAACTGCTGCATCTTGGCATGTGGTGTAAGAACTGTCACAGTAGAATAGGCCAAGTGGAAGGCCTGATGTTGACTCCCAAGTTCATGGCCTGGGCAGTACCTGAAGCCATCTTCCCAAGGAGACAGACAGATAGACAAAAAGGATACATGATTGGGATCCCTATGGTCTCTCTAGTCTGTTGGAGTCTGTGGGTCTCTCCACAAACTAAACCAAAGAATAGCCCTAATTGAAAGTGCTGTACCTGATGTGATATATTTATTAGAAAAGATTAATTTACATCCTTTGATTCTTTAAAGAAATAAGTGGAAAATAAGATTAAGTATAACCTTTTGTGGCTTCATTAGTTTAAAAAAATAATCTGCACACCATCATGAAATCTTAGCCTTGACTCATCGTACGTTTTATACACCCTGCCACTACAACCTTAGCCCCAAACCTGGCTCAGAAAACATCTACGTTCACTAAGAAAGTGTTAAAGATGCTGGGCACAGTGTCCTGTCAGAGACTGATTTCTCAGCTAGGAAGTCCGTAGTCCTGTTCAGAAGATAATGTTTATAGTTTTGGGATCATGGACAAGAGAGGACCAATGGGTTGTTCAGACCATTGGCTCTTCCCCAGGACCAAGTCCTGAGCTAGCTCTTTATATTAGGCTGGGATATTCCCAGGAAGAGAAGCCATGGAATCAGAAAGATAGCCTCTGTTCTAGAACATTGATCCTGCAAGTCTAAAATGTACCAAATGTCTTTATCAGAACACAGGTCAAAGACATCCAGTTAAATTGTGATAGATCAGTGGACGGATTGAACATTGTCTCTTACAAATATATAAAAATGTGGAATAATGAGTCATTATATCAGTCCTTAGAACAGGTCCAACCCAACAGCAAGGGCTTTATCAGTGTTTCCTTTAGCTTGACCATCATGGAAAATAGTTTATGTTATAGTGTTAAATAAAAATAAAATAATACAGAGGTCAAGAGCCACCTCTGCCACCACCAACGTGGAGACTTTGTACCGAGTCCCCTTGCTAGTGCTTGAATGCCCCAACCTGAAGCTGAAGAAGCCACCCTGGGTGCGTGTACTGTGGGCCATGACTTTGTATGCTCTGCTGGTGGTGTCTTACTTCCTCATCACTAGCATAACCATTGATGTGTTACTGTTGAACCTCCTGGTGTTGGCTCTCTGCCTAATGAACATGGGCCTCAGAAACCAGTAGCTTTCTTGGCCTACAAAGTAAATGGACAATTAATTTTGGAAGGACTCGCATCCATCTTCCTGTTTACAATGGGAGGCTAAGGGCTCATGATCCTGGATCATGGGGTGCACCAAACATTCCAAAACTCAATAGATTTCTTCTTATATTCACTGGATTTTTCTGTGTCCTATTGAGTTTTGTCATGGCGAGAGTATTCGGGAGGATGGACCTGCCCGGCGTCTGATGCGTTAGAATGCCTTTAGAGAAGAAATCAGTGGATATTGAATTTGTCCCTGTCAATGAAGTTTTAAAGGCTGTACCAACCCTCGGATGTGAAGTATGGAAAAGAATGAAAAGCAGCAGAAAAGTGAACACTTCATTTAGTGAAAACATACAAAGGCATTAAAGCTTGAACTAGAATGCCTGCTTGGTATCAAAGAGACAGGCTTATCACAATATTTTTTTCCTGCTGGCCTATAATGATGTACCAATGATGTTAGGTGGCATTTACTTCCTAGTTTTTATTTCTTAAAGGAAATATACTCCAGCGGTGCAGTAGGTAAAGTCATGACTCGGTTTGGTGCAGGT